TGCCAGCATTCACCCAAGCCACACCTGATGGCCCTACCGCGGTTTCTCACTTCACATCCACAACGGCGCTGAGGAAACAGGCCTCTGCTACGGCGCGGCTTGCTATTGTCTTCTGGCAAGCAGGAGAGGGAAGGAAGTTGGAATAAATGTTGGAACATGTTGGAACTCGGATTCTCAGGCCCTGATCAAGGCTGAGACTTGGACCAAAGTGGATTCTGAAGGCAGGAAGCTTGTCAAGTATCTGGGGTGGAGAACCTCCGGCAGTACCTCTGATCTTCCGGCACTTCAGACACAAGAAGACGAGACGTTGGGGGAGTGCGGTCAACCAGGAAACAGCTGTCGACTCGGTGCGAGTCTACACCCCGGCCGGCCCCGTCGCACGGGCGATCGACGCACATCGAGAGCTGACGAACGTCCAAGCCCGGTGCACGGGCAGTCGGATGGGCAACGATTTACGCCACCAGCCTGTCGGTGCTGGGACGGGGGACGGTCTGTCAGTGCTGTTTTCCCTCAGACGCGGGTGTGTGTCGTGGGGTCCCCGACAGCGCAAGTTGTTACAAGCAGTTGTGTTGGCAGATGATGCAGAAGCAAACACACCTCCTTCTTGATTCCTTTCCCACATTGGACACCATATGACACCATCAAGTCTGTTTTCCTGAAGACTCGAGCAGCTTTCTCCAAGCATTGGTGAGCACCACTTCAGCTCAATCTCCACAGACCTTCACAGACACCACGGACATCCATGGACCCTGAAGAAGACCATGACCCCTCCACAAAAATGAACAAATAATTGGGGGAGGGTCCTCAGTTAGCACTTCACGTGTTTTTTTCTTCCAAGAACGCCGGCGCCCTGCCTGGCCCAGAGTACTCTGGGAGATGGTCTCGAGAAAGACTCCAGACTCGGCGGTTAGACTCGCGGCGGGAGAGCGAGAGAAAACCGCGAGGTTGGAGCCGGAGCATCTGGAAACCTTCTATGTGAGCTCTGAAGATGCTCCCATTGCGCCCTGTAAAAAGGAGTGGACGGTTGGACCGTGGATGGTCAGAGTATTCGTGAAATCGGTGAAGGAGCACCATTTGAAGTGAGGGGGTCCACCACCGAAATGCGAGTCAGCTGCTGAGGAACATCACATCCAAAGCCACGCGACAGTCATCCCCATGTCCGTGTTGCGTAACGGGGAACGATATGGGGAACGACCCTCGTTCATGCCATGTTCAGTCTCGCGTCAGACCAGTGGGCACGACCAGTGATGCGCCGTAGACCCCACTCTTTGTTCATGAGACATAGAGCTGATGGAAGGCTGGTGTGGTTTGGGATCATGCACTTGTTTTGCACGTGTTTGCTTGCCACGTGGCTTGCAATGTATTTGCCTCCCGCCGGGGGGACAGCTGCCCTCGGAAACTGAGGCGTCACTTGCACCTCGGCATGTGGCTTCAGCACCTGCCCCTCAGCAAATGGCTGCTCCTCCTGTAGCTGCTGCTTCTCCAACAGCTGGTGTTCCACAGCAAGTGGTGGCTACTAATCAACAGATGGCTGCTGCTCCTCAAATAGCTGCTGCTTCTCCTGCTCCACAGCAATTGGTGGCTCCTCCTCAAGCTGCTGCTCTAGAGCAATTGGTGGCCCCTGGTCAGCAGATTGCAGCTTCGCCTGAGCAGATGGCAGCCGCTCCGCAGATGGTGGCTGCTGAACAGCCATCAGTTTCAGATGGCAAGCGGCCCCGACCTGCACGAGAGGTGCTGAACGGTTTGTCTCTGAATTTCTTGTTTTATCATTTCATTCACTATCAACAGCAGGCGGAGCTACTTGCGCTATCCACCGCCAAGATTAACAGTTTGATCTTGCGGATTCACCCGGTACATCCCAGCACTGTTGAAGGGCTGAGGCGGCTAAGGGGTAAGCCACAGCGATTTTGCAAGGTGTGTTCCAATTGAAGTGGGTTTTGGATGAGTGTTCCCGTGCGATTCCAGGTGAGACTTCGGTTTTATGTGGTGAGTGCAGCTTATTCAGCCGCTCGAAGGGATCTGAGGGAGGAGTGGGGTGCAAGGAATTCCTAAAGAGGATGAATCGTATCACAAAAACTTTGACACATTTGTTCGGTTAGATCTACTTGGCTCAGAACGCTTACACATTCATACAAAGAGAAAACCGTGGAAGACGGTTCTGGAGGTCATACTTCAGAATTTTCAACAAGTTTCCTTGTCTCCATGTCACCTTTAGAATATGTGTAGACCTTTCCTCTGGTGCCATTGATCAGGCTGAGCCGCCGGGCCTCAGACTTCAACTCTCCGACGGCCAAGGGAGTGCGGAGACCCGTGCACGACGGTGGAGCAGGGTGGAGCACGGTAGACGGTGGACCGTTGGGTGAACATGCTGGATGGATGGGCCCATTGAACAGGCCCCGTGTGCATGTTGGTGCCTTGGACTGGGGAGTGCGACCACTGGGAGGTGAAACACTTGGCTACCTTTTTGAGGGGTTTGTTTGTGGCAATCTTGTGACTTGGCGTTGGACTTCTGATGTGTGTTGGTGTTCAATGGGTTTGTTGACTTTGACATCAGTGTGGACATGAAGTACACGGCCGAATCTCCAATAGAGTAGGCCGACTAGAGCCTGACTCCTGATTTTGCCAAGGGTCCCTTTGTGATTTGTAGTTGTCAAACATGCGTCATGACCACGGCTGGCGCACTCTGCAAGGTTGCGAAGCTTTGCTGCAAGCGCCGCTGTTGCAGGAAGTCCTCGGTCAGGAGAACCGCAGCTCGGGGGGCATCATGTGGCGTCGCAAAGCTCGTGACCTTCCATTTGGAAAGTATATAAATAAGTGGGATGGGCTAGGGAGTCCCCTTATATTTATGGCTTATTTGCCATCCGTGCCGCGCTTGGACCGCAGAGAGTCGGCGATATGCTGCCTTGGCGGCGATATATCAGGATGTAAATGTAACTATAGGGAACGGTTTTTTCCAAGATCCTTTTTCACATGCTCTCTTCGCTTGGAGGACGATCCGAACCGCTTGGCTCGGCGTGCCCAGCAGCTTCATGGCTTTTTCCATCTCGTGGAGGGCGAAGCGTCAGCCGGACCGGCGCTGCACGTGAGGTCCTTCAGGCAACGGCGATCCGTTGCTCTGGGTGGGAACCACCACGGCCGAGCCACAGCTTCTGCGCCACAATGAATTGCCCTTAGCGGTCCGGTTTGTTCTTGTTTCCCCGGGAAGTTGAGCTTCTGGAAAGCTTACTGGGTCGAGTCAAGGCTGTACGAAAGCAGGTGACATTTTAAGTGCAGCGTGGGTTGTCGTAGACCATTTTTTGTAACTCAAAACGTGCACTGTGCGCTTTGCGAAGATATTGAATATTTAGTGTTGCCAAGTTTTGGGTTGCCAATTTGGCCGGATTCTATATTCGGGCTTGTGACATGTTCAAGGGACCGGCGCCAAATCAGTTTCTATATAGACCCATGTTCACCTCAAAACCAGCTCCTGTAGACCACAGGGTGGGAAACAAGAGTCAGAGGCGCAGAACTGTTCTGGAATCCTCATTAACAGTACGTCCAAGTCGCCCCTAAACCTCAAATCCTCAACTTAAAAACCTAAACTATGTCTGCAGTAAGTTCTTTTTTTTAAATGTAGCTGTCACTGTCCTGTCTGATCTTCGGGATTGGAGATTGATGGCTTGTTTTGGTCCCTTTTCAAGGGTGGATGAGCTTTCTGGATTGTTGGTTGCTGTCGTACATTTGAAGGGGTCATCTGGTGGGCCCGGCCTGGCTCGCAGCCCTCCCCGTCCAGGCGCAGCCCTTCGCTGACGGATCTGCAGGATTTGCTACATGAATTGCGTCGTCCGCCGTAGACCGCGGGACGCCATGGACGCGGTGCTTGGCTTGGTGCGTAGACCGTGCGTCGACCGCGCGGATGGGGGCGACAGATCAACTCCTGCGAGCCACCTGGACGCCCTGGAGGTGGGGATTGGAAGTGGCTTAGGCTGGGGCGACTCCCAGTTTCCAAAGTGAATGGAGTTCCACAAACATCTTGGTTTGCCAAAAAGCGCCCACATTCATAGTGTGAACACCTACCAGGAATGCCATGAATTCCTTTGGTGCATTGTTTGCTCAGGACAATGTGTCAGATGCCAGGGGCATTCCCAAGATACCAACAATCATAGTGTTCCAGCCTGAAGGGTTCTATTGATTTTTTTGAGCTCTCAGAAGCCTTGCCATTGGTCCCCTATGAACCGAGAGTTCATGTTCCAGTTTTAATGAATGATCGTGATGATTTCCCTGTGCAACGCACAGACAGATTAGAGATGAAGAGCTTCCATTGAATTCTTTTTGAGTGTGGATGTCTTAGACACATCTTCACTTCTTCACTTCTGTTTGTCGAGCGGTCGACCCTTTCGAACAATCCCTTACCGGTCACGTGTGACATAGTGTCTTTTTCCTTGGAGGCCATTGCTAGTAGGTTGGAGGCCATCGCTACTAGGTTTCTTGGAGTCTATTTTTAAAGTTATATCTTTTTCTTTTCACTTAAAGAAAAAGGGATGTACATAGGGTCTACAAGTTTAAAGATGTATATACAATATAGGGTATCTTACTATTCTTTTCACCGACAACAAGACACTTGGGAGGCGCCACTCTTCTACCAGCGCCGCTGGGCTAGCGGGAGCTTGAGCGCCCGAAAAGGGGGTGCCAGTGACTGCCAGTGGTTCAGATGGTTGACGGTTATTTCATGTTATTTCACTTCATGATAATGTAGACTCTCGAGCAAACAACATTTGGATTGTAAGACCTCCTGAGACGGGTTTTCGATTGATCCAGGGTCTACAAGGTACATCTTCTTTCCGTTTTGGGCAGTTGTGACAGAACACCGGTGACAGCCTTGGAACCGCTTCGATGGGTGAACCCTTTTTTGGGCAACTCCCTATGAAGTCAACAGGTTTTGGCCAACACGTTCAAAGGATTGGCGTGTCGAAATGCTCTTTTTGGCTCCCGACGAGAAACAGGGCAACAAGTCGTGCCAGGCCCTTTCATGGGCACTCATCAGGCTGGGCTGGGCGTGGCATTTATTGATGTCACTGGAGTTTTGATGTTTTTATTTTTTGTTTTTCCGAGATTGGTGCTGTAGTTGGGGAAAGTTGGCCAGTGCGTTGATTTATTGGTCAGTTGATTGGTGATTGTTTTGCTCGTTCTTTTCTTTTTCTTTTCTGCACTTTTGCGATTGCGCTTTGGCAAAAGGCCACAGGTTTGAATATCCAACCGGGTCAATGTGTAGACTTACTTCTCAAGTCTCCTCGTAAGCTCGTGACATACGACAAATGATGTTTCAGTAATGGCCCAAACATGCCTATACAAATAAATAATCCCTTTGAACCATGTTAAAAGGGTCCAAGCATTTTCCCTTTCAACCTCTTAGTTTGGTGTTTTCCAAAACACCGAACAGGCCCAACTGCTGCTGCCCAGATGCTATCACAGATGCCATGTGTCGATCACTGGTCCCCGAAACAGGTGATCAGCTTGAGGAAAAGGTCGCTAGTGGCTGCTTGAAGTATGACCACTGCCTCCTGCTATATTCCTTTTGCCTGCTTTTGCACTTTTGCACAACTCGAGTTGTTGCTTGAACAACTCGAGAGCGGCAGGCTCTACCAGGCACGGGCTGGGCTGGTGCCGGTGGCTGCGAAACTGAAGGGTGGATGGCAGAGAGCACTGAGGCACTCAAAATACTCCGTTTACGGTCCTTGTCAAAAAGATTCCCGAGGAAAGAGCTTCCATAATGAGGCAAACCCGAGAGCAACATAGCTTCATTTTCACTATTTGGGAGTTCTATTTTTGATCTCTGGCAGGACCATTCTGCAGAACACACACACATTCCATATTGTCCAACTAGCCCAGTATGCTTTTGTTCCTAATGTTTGCTTTGCCCACAGCTGCCCCTCAAACCTGCAGTGTCGTAGGGGTGTTCGAGGTAGCTACAGATCCCTTTAGATATTCTATCGAGAGATCCTTAGGGTTTAAAGAGAACAAGTCAAGGTATGACCAGCTCACCAATTCTTGACCAACATCGTTCTTTTAGACACATACTTGTTTGGTACAACTTACAGCTACAGTTCATCTCAGTTTGCGTGTGGCGATGTTCTTGCCGCCTGTGTCAGGAAGCGACGACTCGCACCCGAGGCCGGATGGGGAGATGCTTTGGCGAATCGGTTGTCTATCCTAAAAGCTACTAATAGCGTCCTTGCTCCTAGTAGCGATGCCAGGAGCCCCTAGTAGCTTCTTGCTCCTAGTAGTAAGGCCAGGAGCCCCTAATAGCTTCTTGCTCCTAGTAGTAAGGCCAGGAGCCCCTAATAGCTTCTTGTTCCTAATTCGATGATGGGAACTTCCATCTTTTTCCCAACAACCGTGTGAGGAAACGCTCAGATCGGATGTCGGGGAGACGGCATACAACCTGAGCTCACCAGAGTCAAGAGCGAGTAGCAGAAGTCACCAATTCCAATGGCTTGAAATGTATTTTTGACATTCTGTCCATTTGACACCTGTTGGTTCAATGGAAGAAAGCCATGCCAAAGCTCATCATCAGGGTCGTCTTAATGGGCATGTCCAGTTGACAGTACCACCGCCAACACAGCAGGAAAAAAATGGAAAGGGAGGAAGGAAGGTCAAAAGAAAACAACAGGAAAACGAAGGCCAGAAGAACCGAGTCTCTGACATACTTTTTCGAATCCACTTGCCCAGGACTTGGAGCCCTCTGAGGCGCGGGGGGGACGCGGAGCTCCGGCCTGGCGATGGCCTCCACCCTAGGATGGCCTCCAACATCCTCCAACCTAGCAGCTTCTTGCTCCTAGTAGCAATGGCCTCCACCTAATAGCGCCCTTGTTGGTCCTTTCAGGATCCTTCGGGATCTTTTTTCGGGTGTCCTGGGCAAAAAGGCAGGTGAAGATGGTTAAGGTGGCCGATTTTTGGCTGAGAAGCTAGCTTTCAATCAGGGACTTGATGGGACTTCCCGGTTTCAACATTTCAGAGCGCATTTCAGGGTCGATGCACTAGAATGCAATTATTGTTTTTGTTCAGTTTTGATTGGCGCATCAGCTGAAATAGATCAGGGATGGTCATTTGGCGAGAAAACCCTCTGCAAATCTGAAATACTTGTCACCAGTCGCTCTCCAATCGGCTGTGATGAACCAGATCCCAATGACCTCCAAGCGAGAATCTTTCAGCAAAACGAGCTCAACGGAATCTAATCTTCCTCCGTTGAATCTCATCTCAACGAGATTCCGTTGGTGTCGGGATGATTGGCTTATTACAGTACACATCGGGTTTATCGCAGTGCAGAGACCCAACTGTTGAGCCAAATGCCTAGCTTTTGGATAGTGACGCTCAGTCTGATAGTCAGCCAAAAGGTATTGAAGGTTGTAAGGTCGAAGACAAATTTGAGTGTTAAACCCATGCTGAGCTTCTTTTTTTCATCTTTTTGTCTATCCATTCCGTTACCAGGAGGTCCAAACCGACCCACCGTGGAAGTGCTAATGCCTTTTGTATGGGTACCAAGCTCTTGATTCAGAGAAGTGCTCCAGTGCTATTTCCGAGCAACATCACCAAAGGTCGTCACTAATTCATTCCACTTCCTCCTTTTCATCAGCAAGAAAGCCACAAGAAGGTTCAGGAGTGGGGATTGACCTGCATTGTGTAGGCGGTCTCTCCATCGTTTCGGCTCAGCTCTTGTATGTAGAGTTAGATTGGGCGAGACTCGTTCATTGGAACAGGGCCTCGTTCACGCTATGGGCTGCTCCTCGTCAAGACACCCGACGCTTCAGCCCGCCTTCAAGCCTGCTCGTATGGATGGTGCGAAGATGCATGCTTTGAGAACCGAAACTCCTCTGGTAGATTTCGAGCATCCAGCCCTAAGCTGTCCCAGCCGCCCATCACTGGGCACTTCGACTTCTGAACGGAGGGACGTTCGCCGCGGATTCCCGCTTCGCCAGGTGGCCACAACTTCGACTTCGCTGCCGCGTTGAACATCGTAGAGGAAAACGAGGACAATGAGCTGAAGGATCCCGTACCATGGACATTTGGCTTTGGGCGGTGGAATTGTTTTCCAAGGAAGATCCGGAAAAAGACGTATAGTTATACAATATTATACATGATGCGGGACTCATGACTCATTCGTGAAGATCATTTGTTGCGTTTTCATTTAAGGTATGACTTGGTATGACATTCTGACCTGCCGTATTGGCAAGAATCAGTTCAGCCACACAACCAGGTATCCTCCTGGGACATGCAAGGCAGGCGGTCAGGGTGCGAATGACGCCCTTGAGATCTGGCGGAGAAGCAAAGGAGAATGGACCCCCTCGTACTATCCGTGGATTTCGTTGGAAGCAAGGGCCGGCAGCAATTCTGGTTGCTGCCCGATTTCTAGCGGCATTTTCTTTAAATCTTAGTCTACCACGCAAATTATACTACCGCGGCCCATGTTGTGGAGAAGGCTCAGGAGGCTAGCGAAATGAAGAAGAGGAGGGGAATTAGGTGACCCACATAACCACACGTCAGGTTTTCAATGTTTCCATTTCATGCTTGTGGTGGTTTGTTGAAACGCCGGGTTGTTGTCTGCAGCATTTGTTTAGCTTGTCAGTTGCCATGTCGATTCGTTCGAAGCCAGAAAAAATGGAGATCTATCGAGTTCCGCCAGGCATACCAGCAGGGTATCCAGCGGAGAAGCTCTTGCCCCCCGATCGGAAGCTTCACGAGAAACACGTGCCCCGCTCGCATGAAACCGTGGAGGTGGGATTGATAGTTCACTCCTGTCACGGTCTGGAGGGCAACACTTGTCACAACTCGCCAATCTGGAAGCTATTCACAAGAGATGTCGACGAGAGACACGTCTCTAACACCAGTACCGAAGAAGGTGAAACAACGACGGCAGACCTGCACCGGACCTGCACGGTGGGGAGCATGCAGAAGCCTATGATATGGGGATATCCATTTGTGATAGTGATGGTTTCACCCGGCCAGAAGGTTCCTAGGCCAGAAGCGCTCTCTCCAGTCTTGGTGCCAAACAGCTACATAGGCTGTAGGTGTCATGTTCCTGGCAGAGTCTCTTTCCAGCCGAGCTTCAGCGGAACCCTCGGCCCCGAGCTTGTGGCGGTGCAGCCGATCGGAACTCATGGGGACTCGCAGCTGAAAAGGGTCAGTATGCAACAGCGAGGCAGGCTAAGGTTTTTTTTTTTTTTTAATAAGGGGAAGACATGGTCAGACCGTACGACCCATGAGATCCTGGAACAGTTGGGTGGACCGGCTTTTGGAGCTGAGCATCCAAGGTCCGCAAGCTACGCAAGTTTCTCAAGGAAGTAGAGACGACTCCTGACGATCTTGAAGCAACTCGGCCTGTAAAAAACATGAAGAAGATGATCCATCAACCGCCCAACTGTGGGAGCCATCAGGTCAGCACAACCCATCGGATCAATCAATCCCCTTCACCCTCACCGTTCCGACGTCGTCAGACTGGGGATCCCAAACGTCAATGAAGGGTGTGTGTTGACGACATGAACGGTACAAGGAGTAGAGAGACATGTGCAGACAACAGGCTGGGACTTCGTTGTTTGGGTTGACATCTTGACCAGGTGCTTTTGAGTCATGCATGTGGCTGGTGGAAAGCGCCACTTTGAGACAGCAGAAAGCGCCCACTTTGGTTGACTCATGTTGACTCATATCCCGTGGTGCTGGGAACTGGTCGATTTGCCACGAAGCTACTGCAACTGGACTTGTTGGAAGGAAGAAAGCTCAGGCGGATCAGGTACAGCTTTTCTTCCTCTTTCTTCCACTCAACAGCCCGGAGCGGTTGCTCGCGCTCCCGCACGGTGCGCTGACGCGGTCGTTGGTCTTCTCCGGCGAACCGAGGAGAAGGTCTCTGAGAAGCGTAGCCGAAGCGGTCGGGACGAGACTCGTGTGACTTCGGCCGATCAGCGAGCGACCGGTTCTGGGAGGGAGGGGGAATGAGGGGGGACACCGGACACCAGCAGGCGGAGGTCATGTTGGATTGGATGTTCGTTGAGTTTGATCGATGGTTCGATGACAAGTGTGTGGGGCCTTGACTTGAGGCAGTTTGTTGGGACGACGAGTGACTGGTGACTTCGTTCGTTGATGACGAGGTTGTGTTTTTCTCGAGGCGCAGGGGCGCCAACCATGTCTCACTTGAACATGTTTTCTTTTTTTTTTCCGTGTAGTGTGTGCAGCTACGAGTCCAAGTTCAAGATACTTGTAGGGGGAACCACAAGCTGCAGCCTCATGGCCCATGGCTTGACAAATCAAACCCATGGGCCATTCTGGTGAACTTTGGGATTAGCACCAGGTTTCTTTCGGCAATGGTGTGTGCCGCTACTTTTCTGTGAAACCGGGAAAACAAAAATCAGTTGAGCCTGGTATAGGGGCTGATGATGCTCTTGCCTTAGGGTATTCATGGAAGAGATGCTGCATACTATTCAACCAGAGGTCGCAAAACTACCTGGGGCGACCTCCTTTACTCAGGCTTGGACAGGGCACGATTCCAAGTTCAATCTCCCGAGAAGCTCCACTCTGGTTCCCGACCGTCCCGACCGTCCGGACGGCACGGGGTGCCGACATGACGCCTCTCTACCCTGCCTGCCCTGCTTGAGGACGGTGAAAAGAAGCAGAAGAGTGGGAACAAGAAGAGCAAGGAACATGATGATGCTGAGAGCCCTGACTGATCCGGTTTCAGATGCTTCAGATGTGCCGTCGTTTCTTTGCTTCTTTTGGGTAGTAAGCAGCTGACGAGTGCCAGATCCAGCTAAAACCCACTGCAGCTTGGAAATTAAGTCGTTGGTAACAACTCACACTCTTTCTTTCCACTGAGATGCTTTCAACGATGTAGTTCCCACAACCTTCAGGCCGGCCTCAAGATTTTTGTTGGATTTTGTTTGAGTGATAGTGCCACCAGGACGATTGATTGCTCCTCTGTAGTTGTGGCATCTGAGGATAGATGTGAACATCTGAGCCAGCACACCTCTGTCGGCAGCTCCGAATCACCCCAGTCACAGCAAAAACACTGCATTCATTTGCATTCATTGCTTGGGTAGGCGCAGAACTTGAATTGACCAAGATGCAACAAGAATGACACATTTCTGTGTCCCTTTCTGTTTACTTTTTACGTGATTTCTTTGGCGGAAGAAACGC